GTGGAAGTTAAGGAGCGGACGGGGCGATGATGATGGATTTCCCAGGGGACCTAGTGCATGGATCGCTTGGTCCCATTCTGATCCATGCTGCCGATGTTGAGTAATATGGTTGACCTCTCGATCCCCCCCCCTCCCCAACAACGTTAGTAGCAAGAAGATGGAGTTATAGTTAGGACCGAGTGATGGGCGATTACGATGGATAGGCCTGGATCTTTCTGCTAGGAGCCCAGGTACCAGGCAGGTAAGAGTCCTGTTCCCTTCTACAGGGCTGAGGGCAGGCACAGCGGCCACATTCCTGGATTAACTCTGCTTACTTGCTGCTTAGTGCCGCTGGTGATTGACCTCTTACAGGCGGTGTAATAGCTGGAGGCTTGTGTTGCTGTGAATGATGGCACTCCAATGACAGGCAACAACAAGCCTCCATCTATTACTATGACTGTAAAAGATGCATCACTGCCCCAGGATGACTGCACTGTGTCCCGCCTCCTCCAGATAGACAGCTAGCATGAATAGAGGGGCCCAGTTCTGGCTGTAGCACTCCCATGGGAATGACCATAAATGGGGCTTCTGTCTGGGATGGAGCTAGTGCCAGCAAAAACAGAGAAAACCAATTCCCCTTCTTATAAAATGCAGGCCACGGATCAGAACAGGACCAATCGCTTCATGCACTAGGTCCCATAAGGATTTAACAAATGTAATGATAATTCTGCTTTAAAAATAAAAAAAATACATTGTTTTCACCCTTTTCTTCAGTTTTTTTCCATCTTAGTGCTGTTGTAATCCCCCATACCCCCCCCTTTTTTAAAACACCCCCCCCCCCCCCCCCCCCCGCTCATTTCTGTGCACATTGATGTAGACCGGCGTTTCGATAGTGAGAACGTAGGACCAATGTGTGTCAACACCGCCACTCGTAGTCTCTACCAGGGGCGCATGTGGCAGGGTGACAACGGGGCATAGTTGCAAGGCAGTTGTCACCCAATATCAGGAAGTGCCTGAACAAGGACCTTCATAGCAGGATCACCTCATATTATTTTAATAAAATAATCTTTCGAACTTAGGCTTCCATCTATTGTAATCATATTTTGGATATGTGGTGAACTCATCTATATATGATTGGGTTTTATTCCGCCTTTAATAGCTATTATACTATTTTGTTGTTACCCTACAGAAGAGGGGAAGTATGTAGAAAGAGTCAAGCATCAGTACAAGGCGGCCATGATGGAGAACCGGCCGCCCCTCACATCACCGGGTAAGAGGAGACTTTCCGAGTATTGAGGATCCACCTAGATACACACATCCTCTGATATAAAGACATAGAAACAATGTATTCAGTCAGTGTGTGTGTTTCCTACAGATGGATCCAGGAAGAGAAATACCCCAGAGAGATGTCCCCGTCCTCTGTATTCCCGGGACTCCACACAGGAACATCAGGAGATCCCTCAGACCCGTTCTCTGTATTCCCGGGACTCCGCACAGGAACATCAGGAGATCCCTCAGACCCGTTCTCTGTATTCCCGGGACTCCGCACAGGAACATCAGGAGATCCCTCAGACCCGTTCTCTGTATTCCCGGGACTCCGCACAGGAACATCAGGAGATCCCTCAGACCCGTTCTCTGTATTCCCGGGACTCCGCACAGGAACATCAGGAGATCCCTCAGACCCGTTCTCTGTATTCCCGGGACTCCGCACAGGAACATCAGGAGATCCCTCAGACCCGTTCTCTGTATTCCCGGGACTCCGCACAGGAACATCAGGAGATCCCTCAGACCCGTTCTCTGTATTCCCGGGACTCCGCACAGGAACATCAGGAGATCCCTCAGACCCGTTCTCTGTATTCCCGGGACTCCGCACAGGAACATCAGGAGATCCCTCAGACCCGTCCTCTGTATTCCCCGGACTCAATGGAGGAACATTATGAGACCCCTCATGGTTATCAGGTAGATGGCACTTAGGGTTTTAAAGAGCAAGTTCCAATCTCTGAATCAAGGGCTGGTGATCCATGTCTCAATTCCATTGACCTTCTTTTTAATAGTTCTGGCTTAGGGCATATATGGCTCCCCTGTGTCTCCCAGTTGCCTACCACTGATTGGGAATTGCAGACGTTTGCCTTTAACAACACTATTATTTATACAGAGGCTTGGTGGACGTTCGTTACTAAATGCAATATCTTTGTCATTTTCTATCTCTAAGAATGGAAATCTGATTGTTGTTAAAGCTGAAGTGAAAGAGGAAACGGAAGAGACATCTATGAGGAGCGATGAGCCGTATAAGGAGGAGGAAACCCCTCCAGGGATCAGCACAGGTGAGGAATAAACACTAAATCCAGAAAAGAGTCCCAGATTCTCCTTGTTCAGTCACTACAACAATCTCTTCTTCCCCCCCCTCCAGTAATTGGGGGGACGGAATGTGTTTAGTGGGGGGAGTCAATGGGGTCTCTCATACATCTCAGTACATCTTTATTCACAGATCCCGGAAACTCCTCTGTCAGTTCACAGTAATGGGGGGACGGAATGTGTTTAGTGGGGGGAGTCAGGAGTCATCAGTCTCTATTAGACTCCGGCTCTCCTCCTCGCATCATGTCATTGTGTGTTAACAGCCAAGAGACGTGACTAGTCTCCCCCCACACACACTCTCTGGGGTCTCTCATACATCTTGATAATGATGAATGAATCCGCAAAGGGTTGATTTACCAAGGATTTTGCAAATCTTGTTCAAAATTTGGTAACCCGAATTTAAAGGGGTTCTAAACCCTCCCGTTTTTTTTGCCTATATCTACTGCTATCATTAAGAGATTGATGGCATTAAGAGATTGCAGATGACACAGCAGTGTAAAATTGGCCAGCAGCAGGACAGTTTTAATCAGGGATAACAGGCCTAACTGGTGTATGCCTAACTTTTATTTTATTTTGGGGGATAGGAAAGTGCTGTGAATGTGATTGATATAATATGAGGCGGCCCTATTAACATAAAATAAAAAAGCCCACAAAGGAATTTAAAAAAAACCCAAATATCACCCCCCCTGAAACAAGAGCCCTTTTGAGGTAACCCTGAGTAAAAAAAGTCCCCAAAAAAACAAAAGAAAAAGTTTGCTATGGATGGGACAGCAGCTAAAAGTGACCATTGACCTCAAATAAAATAGAATGAAAGACAACAAATTCCCCATTAATAGCAAAACAAAGTCAGCAAGGAGGTTTATTGTCCAAAGAGCTAACAATCCGAATGAAAGTACAATTTCCTGACTGACCCTAATGTCTCCCTATGCAATTTGTCTGCTTTATTTACAACAGCTTCCAAGCCATAGTTCAAAGGTCATGTAGTGCACTATGCACGGGTGAATGTGCATGCAAATTCACTGGGCCTGCAAGCCTTGAATTTGTCTTGAACCCATTATAGCAGCTAACCCGAAACTCCTCCCTTCATCTCAGCACAGGGGGCTTCATTCTCCACTTTATTTACAGACCCCGGAGACACCAGCACAGCTCAAGAAAAAGTCACAGCTAAGGAGGAGGAAGAAGGACGTGCGGAGATTAGAGAGGAAGCGATTCCTTTGCAGATCTCTTCAGGTTAGTAATAAACAACTCTGTGGTCCGTTGTGGTTGGTCCTGCACACTTGTCCTTATTATGAAAGTTGAGAAGATAAGAGCCGTCTATCAAGAGTTGACAGACAACACGTTCCGGGTGTAATGCACTTCATCAGGGCTGCAATATAACAGATAGAGGTTTTTATTGCAGTTGTTTTAGTAACAGAAATGTATAAGATATATATTCTATAACTGTAACTTAAACAAATTCTACATGAGACCGCTTTCTGGTATATTGAAGCCCTGATGAAGGGTTATTATGACCCCAAAAGTACGTTGGCTGTCCACTTCTTTATTGTGACTAATACAAATGTATATCTGGACCAATAGCTACAGCTTGGCCTTCTCATCCTTTCACTGACTCATGCAGGGACCCCATTGGGTCTTCACTGGGCCATTGAGATCTGCCAAACTATAGCAATCAATGGATTTATTTGTTATGTCCTGACCTCCACCACCCTAATATGGGAGCATTTCATTGCTGCCTGTTTTGGCTTTAGATATACTCTAAAGAAGAACTTCACTCCCCCACCCTATTCCGTCCCCATTCCCCTTTACCTTTTTCGTTGGGTTATGCAGAAAAACATTCTCACGCACCCACAAATCCAGCCAAGTTCTGTAGGGATCTGTCTCTCCGGCGCTGCACTGCTGGTCCCGTTCCACCATCTTTTTCTCTGATATCCTCAGGGGGATGTGTCTGTTTCTTACTACTTTTTGCAGTCGCCACCCCCCTTGATGACCCACGTGTGCCTTAGAGCACCCCAAGGCCTCTTGGGTTGCATGACGAGGCTACGGGCAACGCATACATTATTCTTGCCAAGGCGGGGAGGTATCATGGAAAATGATATCCCATTCATTCCTGCAGAAGAGAATCCCAAAGTCCCACATACCCCTCCAGTGTGTCCCGGTGCAGATAACCCATCCAATCCCACGCTGTGTGGTTGGACTTTCCTGATTAGTTACGCCCCTTTATGCCTCATAGCTCAAATCTTCTTCTCTATATTTAACCCTGAGAATTAAACATCTCGCACCAGAGATTCCCCCAGAAAAGGTATTAAAAAAAGGTAGTAATAAGGATCTGATTGTTGGAGAGGAGGAAGGTAGGAGTAGAGTGGGGGGAGGAGGGTGAAAGTCCATTTTAGCAATTAAACCCTTTTTATCATTATACTTTACTATCTCATACCTGACTGGAGACTCAGCTGAGAAGGGGGCTCTCATCCCACACCTCTGGAAGTGGCGACAGGGGATGTAAGGACAGAGTGGGGCTCAGGTGCCGGTACTGGTGGCTGGCCGGTTCTTGGGGAGGCGCTTGAGTGCGTTGGACCAGCTGGCGAATCGGCAAGACCGGGATAACACCGGGACCTCTTGAAACCAGAAGAGTCAACGGGTGTGAGATCAACAGAGCACTGGCTGGATGTAGCTGCTCAGGGTACTGATGGAGCGATCCACCAAGTGGCAGACCAAGAGGGAATTCAGGTTCAAGCCGAGGTCATACACAGGGAGCGGAATCTTGAGGTGCCGAATCACAGATCAGGAGCAGGGTCAGGAAACGTAAGCCAGGGTCATACACAAGAGGTCAAAGAGCAGAGGTACCGAATCAGGAGGAGGAGGCGGAGTCAATTGGTCACAAGCCTGGTTCATACACAGGACGTCAGGATACTGGAACAGAGTACAGGGCACACGGACCAGCTGAAGACCACTCAGCAACTTGGTGATGGCTTCATGTCCGTTTATATAGAATAGTGTGCACGCTAATGAGCGTGCACCTGTACGCTAACGAACGTGCTTCTGTACGCTCACGTGCGTGCGCTAAACGTTCCCATACACGCGCGTTCACGTGCTAAAGCGCGTTTTCCAGGAACGTTCAGCAATGGATTGCATGCCCGTAAGCAGGTAAGTCTCTTACATTTATTGTGTTTCCTACAGATGGAACCAGTAACAGAAGTACCCCAGGGAGGTGTCCCTTTCCTGTTTATTCCTGGGATCCTACACAGCAAGATCACAGGATCCCATACCAATATCAAGTAAGTGGATCAGAGGGTCTTATAATGTAGTGGGCAGGAGTTTTACAAAGTGGCAAAGCTTGTGCAACTGCCAGCTTTAATTTCTTTATGATTGGAGCATTGGGAAGTAAGAGCAATCATTTTCGGGGTATCGTTCACGTTTGAATTGATGAGCTGTAAAGGCGTTTAAATCGGCACTGGGCATGTGCATGGGCTTAGTGCGATTGGAGGTCACCCAACCCTGTGCAAAACTGTCAGTGACACATCCCCGAGGCGTTCCACCAACCCTTTGTCCCGTGTAGCTGCTGGGCGGCAGCAGCTGATTCGACCAGGAGCAGTTTTGTGCAGGCATGGGCGAAATCAGTTTGCACCGTGCCCATGCACATCCCTACTTGTGACCTATGGACACTTTTGGGTACTGCCATTTTACTTTGAGGCTTGGCATGTTTGGTATCTCCCTTACTCGACGCGACTCTATTACAGATATTTTTTTTACTCAAAATTTGAGTTTGATCGACGGTTGCACTAATATTGCGTGCCATGAAAAATCGCAACTGCCACGATTTTGGACGCTCGAAGTGAAGTGAGCTGAACACTGTTAGGCTATTCATTTCAGCCTTCCATGGCTGATTTCAGCCGTACATCGGCTACAAAATCAGCCGAACTTGCTCTGCATGTTCGGCTGAGCTGAAGTGCAGAAAGAGTTCGGCTCAGCCGATCCAACATCTGGATCGGCTGAGCGGGAGCTCACTCGCTGCCGTTCTCCCTGTATTCCCATAGGGGCCGAACGACAGTAAGTGAATAGCCGAATGCCACCAAGCGCCATTCAGGTCGGCTATTCTGCTCGGTAGCGAGCAGAATAGAAAAAAAGTTAAATTAATGAAAAAGAAAAACATTTGGAGAAATTATTTTTAACAATGTTAAAAGAAAAGAAAAATATTTTAAGGAAAAGGGAAAAGAAAAAAGAAAGAATATTTCAAAAAAGAAATGACGCACGCCGACCCGACCGCACGTGACAAACTCCCACCGCATAATGAAGCACCTGGCACGTGGCAGCAAAATAAAAACAATTTGGCGGTGACATCACCGCTAGCTCCGCCTAACTGTTTACTATTGTCCGAGACCTGCCAGAGTCTTCTAGCAGGTCCGGGGCAAAAGAAACAACTGGGCGGAGTCGGCCGTGATGTCACGGCTGGCTCCACCCAGTTGTTGTTGTTGTTGTTTAATGGCAGATCAGCATCCCCAGGTCATTTGGGGACGCTTATCTGTCATTAAAACTGGGCGGAGCGAGCCGTGAGATCCTGGCTGGCTCCGCCCAGCTGTCATTAGCGCTGAGAAAGGTCGCCTGCCACTACGGCTCAGCCAAGCCGAAGCATACGCGCTCGGCTCGGCTGCTGTACGGGCTATTGTGAATAGAGGAAGGGGCCAGTACAGATTTACTACTACAATGCACAGGAAGCCAGCTGATAGGAGTGGAGGGCACAGGTTAGTTGACCTCATCAGTCAGTTGCTGCACCTTCACTATGACATCACAGGCTGGGGGCGGTCCTTGACCATGCCATTTTGATTTAACTACAGTCGAGAAAAGCGGGGTCATACCCTGGGAGCCCCATTTGACAAGGATTTCATGACTACAGAACAAGCTGAACCGAGTTGTAAATGTGTTGACAGGAAAGGACTGTGAATTTAGCTTTTTGTGTACTCCGCCTCCTTATAATGACGTGATTGATTTCCCCCAGAGTGATGGCAGTCTGCTGTGGAAAATGGCAACCCACCAGCAGCCCTCTACCTGGGTTCGGAGGAGGAAAGGAGCAGGCAGCCGCAAAAAGAACCTGACCTTTTCCTTTGTGGAGAATATCGCCCTGATCCATGCAGTGGTGCCCTTCTGGGCCGATCTGTACGGGGAACGGGCGCCCTATCACACATTTGTCGAAAAGGCGGCCATGTGGGAACAAGTGGCGGCAGCCGTCAACAGCATTTCGCGACAAATCAGGACGGCCCAGCACTGTCGCAAGCGGGTGTCGGTCATTAAGAGGTAAATGTCATACACCTTTAATGTGTTATTGATGGTGCTTTTTGTTATGGTTTAGCAAGACGGTCTGAGGGTCTGACCTTGGGCGTTTTTTTTGGTGTCACATGATAGTCAAAAAAAAGGTTACCAGGATTCCCAGCAGGGAGTTTAGGTCCTTTCTCCTTGACATTAGGTTAAAAACTGAGCTCGAGGAGGTTTGGCCATCATCAAGGGCCGCCACTAGGCTGTGCTTTTGATTCTTGTCTACTCCTGAAGGTGGTGCTATAACCCATTGGTTAGAGATTCAGGATCTCCTCTGTGTCCACCAATCAACAAAAGAGAAATGATGCCTTCTTGTGACCTAAGCATGATCTTATCTACACATACAGTTCTGTACTAGCATCCAGCTCACGAAACATTTACTTTGTAATCCCTCGTATTTTTCTGCCTCAAGGATTAGTGACTGCCCGTGTCTGTGAGGACTTTAAAACCTCTTTACAACCGGTCCTCCACCCCCTCTCCCTCGCTATTCACAAAACTGTATATGGCCAAATGTTTGTGGACACCAGGCCATCACACCTAATATATGGCCAAACGTATGTGGACCCCCCTCCAAATGATTCAGGTGTCTCCAGCGAAGGGTACTGTTAATGTTTCAGCATACAAAGCCATTTTAGACATTTGTACACCTTTGGGGAAAGAGGACTATGACGTGCAAGTAGGGAGGGGGCTATTCTAGGGAATTATTTATGTGTGTGACCTGTTCTGCAGTCCATCTGGACTAATTGAAATAGTACTTTCAAATTTTTTTTGTGACAGGCAAATCCGGTTCAAATATATACAACATCGGGATGCCATTGAGAGGGCAGAAGGAGGAGAAGCTCCAAGGCCTCTGGTCCTCCTCCCATATGAGAAGGAGATGATGAGTGTCATAGGGGAGGAGCTGATTACCGGGCTGGGGGGCGATTTAGACACAGATCGTCCCGGTAATTGTGTTTTCACAGAACAAATACTGTTGTCTTGCCATTCCAAAGTACTGTCTTTGCTGAGCCCGGTATACTTTATTAATCACAGAATGTTAATTGCAGCTTCAGCTATTGATCTCTGTATACAGTAGAAATGTTTTCAAGGGATAGAGGAAAATTAACCTATTTATGACGGTTGATCAGAAGTTTTTTTTAATAAAGCTAATGTATTATAATGTATCAACATACAGTTTTTCCTTCTTAAGTTCAACTTCCAACAGAAGAAAGGGGAGTAGCAGACACCTTCTCATCCGCTGCACAGTCTGGTGATATCCTAACTCCTGGTAGGTCCCCAAATGTTGTGTTCATTGTAGGGATGCACCAATACTGATTTTTCGGTATCGAGTACCAATATTTTGCTTTCGGTACTTGCCGATACCGGTGCTTCCGCTGGCATGGAGCCGGCTTCCCGGGCAATCAGGAAGCCAGGTGGCGAGTAATGACCCATGTTCAGCATGGAGCCGGCTTCCCAGGCAATCAGGAAGCCGGGCGGAGGGTAATGACATGCCGTCTGGCTTCCTGATTGCCCAGGAAGCCGGCTCCATGTTATTTGGCCGGCTCGATTGTGATTGGCCAAGAAACTGGCTTCCCAGGCAATCAGCATCGGGCCGGCTTCCTGGCCAATCAGGAAGCGAGGAGGCGGGTCATTACTTTCCACCTGGCTTTCTGATTGGCCGGGAAGCCGACTTCATGCTGAACATGGGTCATTATTCGCCACCTGGCTTCCTGATTGCCCAGGAAGCCAGCTCCAGGTTCCCCTACGGCACTGCCGGTCAGAGGAAATCTTCCTCTGACTGGAAGTTCCGGTATGGGGGAAGGTATCGGAGCATTTGGGCGAGTACGAGTATCTAGCATCGGTATAGAATTGGTATCGGTGCTTCCCTAGTTCATTGTATGGAATGTAACAGCAGGAGCTGGAACGCACAAAGGGGAGGGGAACCCCCAAAACTCCCAGGTGGGCAGAAACATGGTATGGCAGGGACATCTCAATTTCTGAGACATACAAGAAGTCAGGGGCTGCTTCAGCCCTCCAAGCTTTACCTATAACTTTAATACTACTTTTGAATGGACTCACCCTTGAAGAGGAACCTCTTAGAAAATATATGTAGGCTGCTTCTGACCTCATTTGTAAAGTGCTTGTTGCCTTGCCTAATGTAAGATCAGACAACAACGCTCCTTCAGTATAGAACAACATTGCAGCAACTCTAAACTGATGCCTTCTTAACTCACAAGAGGGTTTTACCCAATTAAGATCTAAATGTATATCCTAATTGATAGACTGCTAGCAACTCTGGTTATCTAGTGCACATATATGTGAGATGTTAGTCAAATATGCTCATGTTCTGTGTTTAAATTCCTATTTTGTGTTTTTAGGCCACGAGGAAATAGAGGCCCTGGACTTGGCCCCAGCTCAGATTCTTGGAGAAGCATCATCATCTAGCCCATCAGGGGAGGGTTTAATGGACCTAAGCCAGGCTCCATCAAGTTTAGAGCCCCAGGATGTGACACCCCCAATCCCAGAGTTGCCCTCACAAGCAGTACCAGTGTTTTCTCCCAACTATGATGGAGAGGATGCCTCCATTTCCTCCCCTGCTCCCTCCACCCAAACCCCTCCTCATCAGCTGGAAGGCGCAAGTCTTCTCCAGTGCTGCATGGATACTCAAGCACAGCTCATTCAGGAGCACCGTCGGGCACGACGCAGCCTCAACCTCTTGTACAGGGAACAAAGGCGCCACCATCTTGTTGCTGAGCGGGAAAACCATCGCAATCACCTTCGGGCAGAGCAGGAGGCAATCCGTCATCACACCCGTATGGAGGAGGAAGCAGCTGGGTTGACCTGTGCCGTCCGCCAGCTGGTTGCCATTTTTGGGGGAGGAAGCTCACAGATAGACCCTGGCCAACTCCAGGTCACTGCTCAGTTATTGCGTGCCCACAAGAGTGCTAGAGTAACACATAATAGGGGAAGGCCTAGCAAGGGAGGCTCAAGTGCAGGAGTTTCTACTTCCAAAGGCCAGCCAGCAGAATAGCCTTTGTGAATTTGTCAGATTTCCCTTAGCCAAGGACAAGGACTACTTTTATCGTATTTGTTTTTGTATATAGAGCTGTATAATTATTATTTTTACATGAAAAAAAAACGGGTAAAGGTTTTTGACCCAAAATAAAATTCCATTAAAAATCGGTATGTAGCCAAAGGTTGTGGTGACGTCTGCTTTAAAAGACCTAATCTGGTGAACATTGCAATATTGTAAAATAGGATTTTTGTGCTTTCCTTAAAATTAGGGATGCACCGAAATGAAAAAAAAATGTCGGACCGAAACTGAAAATTTGTTTTATTTATTTCTTTTTTATAAACTTTTTAATTTTTTTATATTTTTATTTGTATTAAATATTTTTATTTTTTACATGACTTATAGGGGCTTTGGGGAAATATTAGGGGTCTAAACAGACCCCTGATATGTCCCTTTTAAAAAAGAAAAAGAGATAGAGAACACATAGTCCTCAATCTCTTTTTCTGCCGCCCCTGTTATCAATGAACAGGAATCCTCTATACTGAGTCTCCTGTTCATTCATAACTTGTGGAGATAGTATGTTTACCATGTCCACAATCATGAATGAACAGGAAGTGATGTAGATCACTTCCTATTCATTCATAATTGAGGACACAATAAACATACCATGTCCTTAATTATTTACAATCACTCAGCGATCACTGATCGCTGAGTGTTTGTACCCGCTCTCCATCCTGACAGCTGTCACAGGAGGCTGAGCGAGTGGTGCGGGGAGATCGCGTTCTGACAGCTGTCTCCTCCCCCACAGGAGGCAGGCCTCCTGTGACAGAACTGGCTGTCTCTGCCCACACACCGCTCTCCCGATCTGTCACAGGAGTCTGAGCGGTGTGGGGAGGAGAGACGCTGGCCACTCTTGGCGCTCTCCTCCCGCAGCGCTCGGCCGGCTATGACACTTTCTCTCCTCCCTGCTGGGACACAGAGCAGCGCCCAGCGGGGAGGAGAGAAAGCACGGATGCACCGCTATTTCAGCCAAAAAAATTGCACTTTCGCCATTTTGCCAAAAGTGCCATTTTTGGCCGATACGTTTCAGCTGCCAAAATATCGGTGCATTCCTACTTAAAATGCTTTTTTTGGAGTCCCCTGAGAGACCCAAGAAGTCATATACTGTCTATTATACTGCTGCCTAGAGGGGGATTGGACACTGGCAAACACAAATCTGATAGCTAGCCCCGGATAACATCTCTTACCAGCAGTCCTCATTTTGTAGCAAGCAGTACCAAGACCATGATCTTGGTGGGACCTGTGTCCCTCAATAGACTTCAGAAAACAAGAAGAAGAGTCTTCTCCACAAGTCTACGAATCAAAGAAGAGGGACCTAATGTTGGGTAGAGAGGTCCCACTGAGTCATTAAGCTGTTCCCTTTAGAGGATATTTGCAGCAGGAGACTAGCTTGTTCTGCATGCAAACAGCCCAGCGTGCCATGGGGTCCTTCTCGTACATCCTTTACTTGCAATCCTTTACCTCGGTGCATGAAACTCTCCTTCATATTCATAAGCTACCAGTTGGGAAGGACTGGGCCACCAGAGGATTGTCTTTAAGGGGATTAGCACAAATAGGACTAAGACCAACAGTAAGGACTAGGACTAAGACCACCGAAGTCCCATGTTGGTTAATGTTGCCTACAGGTTACTGGCACTTTCCAGTGCCGATACCTGACAAAACCAAACCCTGCTGGGTTTAAGGGCCTGTTCACACTAGATGCAGTGCGTTCCGGCCCGATTCGCATTGCGGCCTGCTCACTTTTTAGTGGGTCAGGAGGGGGCGTGACGGGCCATTCAAGTGAATGGCACCGTAGCCACGCCCTCCGGCCGCAATGTGATTGGCCACACGTGATCGCAAGGCACATTATGCCTGCGGTCCAGTCCGGTCCGATCAAAATAGTGCTTGCAGCATTTTGATTGCGGCGGACCGGGGCAATCAAAATGTGTTTCGTTTCAGGATTCGTAATTCGGACGTAATTCCGGAATTTGCGCGGACGAATGTTCGTACGTACGTAGCAGAATTGGCACAGTTGACATCTCTGTCTTCACTATTAAAGGGACATTAAAATCTTTTTATTTTTTTGTATCCGTTTAAACGTTGACAATGCACGCACAGGAATATGAAGTAATGTTTTGTTTTTATCTTCACATGCTATGAAATCCTCTTTTTGTACTCATTCATAACCAGCATAAATTTTTGGGCCCCTTACACGGCTTTAGGCCGGGCCCCCTCCCCTGCAGAGACCCCCCTCACCGCCGCCACACTGAGCCAGTCACACTGGTATTATTTTATATTTCTATAGCTCTGACATATACCACAGTGCTGTACAGAGAACACTGAGCCAGTCACATCAGTCAAGCTTGGAGCGGTGGAAGGAAAGAAAAAAAAAAAAGCAATCAATGCAGAATGGCACCGGCTATAGAGGACTACAAATCCCAGCAATAGTACATTACACAGCAATGCAGAATACCGCCATCTATAGAGGACTACAGCAAATCACAGCAATACAATATACATACAGTGTACAATGTATTGCTGGGATTTGTAGTTCTCTATAGCTGATGGTGCATATACAGCGCAATATACCATTTGCTATAGGAATACAACCAATCACTATCCCAGCAATGCATTTATACAGCTAACTCTTCAAGCAACTTTACTTTCTTCCCCCGAGATCTTGGGACTGACCGTTCTCCCACGCTGCAGTCTCCCTGCAACGACGTGATCATCCTGGCGGGCAGCGGTGGGAGAGAGCTCAGAGCTGGGTCAGGCGGGGAGCCGAAGTGTGTGGCGTGAAGCGTGCATCGTGTGTGGAGCCGTGAACAGGGGCAACTAATCGAAAGCCGACTAATCGATGATGGAAAACGTTGACAACATTTTCCATCATCGATTATAATCGACAAAGTCGATTAGCTGTTGAAGCCCCAGTCATATCAGTCCAGGCCTAGACTAGGACTAAAAATAGGCCTGGGCATTTGAGACTAGACATGTGCGATTCGTTTTGTTACGAATCGAAATTCGTACGAATTTCTCAAAATTCGAAAGCATCCGAAATCCGAATTGCAATGCTTCCGAATGTATCCGAAATACGAAATTCCGTTAACGATTTTCGGATCCAAATCCGAATTTCGTTACAACGGAAAAGTGACTGTTTGAGCAATCAGAGGTTTTCTTCTGCTGCTGGGGGAGGAGGTTTTTTGGGAAAATTACAAATTGAAATTGAATTAAGCTTTATTGGCAGGACCAAATACATTTTAGCATTGCCAAGGCATATGGGGAGGTTAATTACCTCTTTTAATATGGGAGTGGGAGACTTGGAGTCGATGGGAGATTCAGAATCGGACAAAATAATAATGTTCGTTATTATCGTTTTATTATCATATTAATTCTGATAATTCGTTATGATGAAGTCAAATTACCTTTTTTTAATATGGTAAATGGTAGTCACCAGTAGGGAGGGATGGTCCGCAGGTTCGATTTGAACATGAGTACGAATCGAACATTGTTCGTTCGAGCGTTGTGGGAGCCCCTCATAATGGGCTCAGCAGGTGTACAGACCCGGGAAGTCAGCACAGGGATGGTGGTAACCCCTCATAATAAACATAGCAGGATTTCAGACCCAGGAAGTCAGCACAGGGATTGTGGGAGCCCCTCATAATGAGCACAGCAGGTGTACAGACCCAGGATGTCAGCACAGGGATGGTGGGAGCCCCTCATAATGAGCACAGGAGGTGTACAGACCCGGGAAGTCAGCACAGGGATGGTGGGAGCCACTCCTAATGAGAACAGCTGTAGTACAGACCCGGGATCGGCCAGCTCATTGACGTTGTAAAAGCACCTTTTAACATGGTGGAAGGTGAGCCCTTTAAGCAATTGATGAAGGCTGTTGCACCCCTGTACCATGTTCCATCACGCAAGACATTCAGCCAAACGGTGTTGCCAGCCTTATTTTAGTCTTGTTTTGTGGTGCTAAAGGAGGAGATTGAAAGTGCAGGAGGACAGGCAGTGCACCTGACTACTGACCTGTGGAGTACATGTAGTTACTTTTAAAGAAAGACACAGAGACATTTGATGAACTGTATCTCAAAGTATTTTTATAATGTGAAAAAACCACATATAACATTTTTTTTCAGTTTTTACAATCGACCAAGAACATCAAGGATATTTCTATTACTGTCTTTCATCTCCTCTAGCTGCTTTTGTATAATTTCACTGTGCTTTTGCATCATTTCAATTTTCTTTTGTTGAGTCCACAATTCGCCAATGCAGCGCCCAACTGTTGCCCGGTACGACTCTTGAGCTATATGTACAAAAAAATACAATTATTAAAATAAGTCCGTTGTATTTTTATAATACCAAGAAATGTTTAACAATCAAACAGTGCATACCAGAGGTTGTGGCCTCCTCCACATATTCTACCTCCTCCACAACAATTGTTGTCTTATCATTTCACGGGCTTGGCTGGGTCGGGGTCACGTCCTGGGGCTGTTTGCCCTTTTGTGGAGTCGCTCTCCTAATTTTTCTTTGTTCTTTCTCTGTGATATAGCAAAGTAAAATCAATCTAAATAACGCAGAGATGACCAATAATATGGCATGTTCTTCACATTTTTCTTTTGTTATTGGGTAGTGACGTTTTCTATGATATTTTGGATTATTCTCCGAATTCTAAAGTTTTTTTAGAAGACCGTAGAATTGCAAAAAGAAGAACAAAATCGATGAAGTGGACAGTGAGCTGAATTGGAGAATATTTCCACTCTTTTGCACTACAGTACACATTTATCACTTCTCCTACATTGGCCAAACTCTTCACCCCTTTGTAAATATCACTTATTCTGCTTCATTTATCTTCAACTACAACAATAAAAGTTATTTTACTACAATTTCTTGGCCTATGGTAATTTCTCAACGTTTGGTCCAACTTGATTGCACTAAGCCAGGACGTCATCGTTCACGCGTGGCAATCCTAGCGATACCCA